CCTGTGCTCACACCCTGTGCTCACACCCTGTGCTCACATCCTCTGTGCTCACACCCTCTGTGCTCACACCCCTGTGCTCACACCCCTGTGCTTACACCCCTGTGCTCACACCCTCTGTGCTCACACCCCTGTGCTCACACCCCTGTGCTCACACCCTGTGCTCACACCCCTGTGCTCACATCCTCTGTGCTCACATCCTCTGTGCTCACACCCCTGTGCTCACACCCCTGTGCTTACACCCTCTGTGCTCACACCCCCTGTGCTCACACCCGTGCTCACATCCTCTGTGTTCACACCCTCTGTGCTCACACCCCTGTGCTCACACCCCTGTGCTCACATCCTCTGTGCTCACACCCTCTGTGCTCACACCCTCTGTGCTCACACCCTCTGTGCTCACACCCCTGTGCTCACACCCCTGTGCTCACACCCTCTGTGCTCACACCCTCTGTGCTCACACCCTCTGTGCTCACACCCCTGTGCTCACACCCTCTGTGCTCACATCCTCTGTGTTCACACCCTCTGTGCTCACACCCCTGTGCTCACACCCCTGTGCTCACACCCCTGTGCTCACATCCTCTGTGCTCACACCCCTGTGTTCACACCCCTGTGCTCACACCTCTGTGCTCACACCCCTGTGCTTACACCCCTGTGCTCACACCCCTGTGCTCACGTCCAGCGGGTCCGTCCCTCCTTTCCTTCCCCAGGCTCTGCCCTGGCCCAGGCCCCTGCTGGGCAGCCCCCGGCTTCCCTGGGGCACAGCCTCGGGCATGTGTGGGTGTCCGGCCGGAGGGCAGCCTTCTGCGTGTTCACCTCTGAATTTCCCCGCCTCCACGATGGCTGGCGAGGCCGGAGCCACAGGGCTCTCGGCGAGGTGTGGTCCCTCAGCCAGGGGGGCTTTCCTGGCACAGGGCACCGCGGAGCAGGGGCGGCCGGCGGGAAAGGTGGCGGGGCTGCCCCCGCGCCAACCCCCGGAAGTTCAGACCTCGGGGAGGACCGCCCGGCGGCGGCGTACCTGCTTCGAGGACCTTGAGGTCGAACTTGACCTTGGAGGAGCCCGCGATGACCGCGTACGAGCCCTGGTCCGCAGGGCCCACGTCCCTCACGGTCAGCGTGTGCCGCGTGCCCTCGGCGGCCAGCCCGAACTTGTCGCTGGCGCTGATGTCGCTGCCCCCTCGCTGCCAGCGCACCTTCACGCCCGCCCGCTCCGTCTCCGCCTCGAACACGGCGGGGCCGCCGGCCGCCACCTCCAGGGACCGCGGCTTCTTGCTGAAGGCTGAGGCTGAGGGCCCAAGGGAGGCTGCAGGGGGCCCGGCTTGCCCGGGCACCCCACCCCTGCGGCCCCTCTTTTTTTTTTTTAACATATTTTATTGATTTTGTACAGAGAGGAAGGGAGAGAGATAGAGAGCTAGAAACGTCGATGAGAAAGAAACATCGACCAGCTGCCTCCTGTACATCCCCTACCGGGGATGTGCCCGCAACCAACGTACATGCCCCCGACCGGAATCGAACCTGGGACCTTTCAGTCCGCAAACGGACGCTCTACCACTGAGCCAAACCGGTTTTGGCTGTGGCCCCTCCTATTAAACACGGGGATAAACATTTGGACGCATCCCCTCATCTCCTGCTCCAATGAGAGGTGTGGTGATCATGCCCATTTTTCAGACGAGGGCACCGAGGCTGAGAGGTTAAGTGGCTTACCGAAATCACACAGCCAGTCGGCGGGAAAGCCAGGGCTGTGCGGCCCTCATCACCAGACTTTGGCTAAGTGCCTCCCCGAGTAACCTACCCAGGGGAACGTGAGCTCACCTCCCCCCACCCTCCGGGGTCCTGGCGAGGGCCTCTGCCTACGTGGATGTGGCTAAATTTGGCCTCTGAGGGCCTCAGGCTGAGCATCAGCCACTGCGATAAAGCCGGCCTGGGAGGGGGCTGGGGCTGGGGGACTGGATCCCTGCCCCGGACACCGCCCCGAGGACACAGGCCAGGCCCAGGGCCCGAGGTCCTGCGAAAGGCTGTGACTTTCCCTGCCCTTGGCCGGCGCGGGCCTCCCTGAGCAGAGCGCCTGCGAGGCCTCAGTGCTGGCCGCGCCCAGGGTCGGGGCCACAGGGGCGCAGGCTCCTACAGCAGCGCCTCTCACAGGCGGGAAGAACCCCCCAGCCCCTCCTTGTGAAGACGGGGAAATAGAGGCCCGGAGAGGGGAGGGCCTTGTCCAGGAGCACTCCGCGAGTGAACATGAGTGCCCAGACCCAGCCTGGCACCCGCCTGCAAGGCCTTTTCCCAGGGGCAGCCAGGCCTGTCCTTGCTGCAGAGATGAGGGTTCGGGGACAGTCCCCAGCATCCGAGGAGGGCGCCTGGGGACCTCCTGCCTTGGCTCTCTGCCCCCTGGGCCCCTCGCCCTGGTCTGCCCTCACTCCCATCATCAGGAACGGAAGGAGAAACCGAGTCAGAAAAGGGCCCAGGAGACAGCGAGTACCCACCTCAGGGCTCCCTCCCTGACCATCAGGCCCCCAGCCCGCCCTGCCCCCCTCAGCCCGACCCCGGCCTGAGCTACCTGGCTTCTTCCCCGGCTCAGGCATCTTGAGAGAAGTCACAGAACCAAGAACGGAGCAGGCACAGGCCACCGGCAGAGGATCTGGGCAGGGACCCGTCCCCCCGCTATATAAGGGGCCCTCCCCCTCCCCAGGCCCCCTTATCTGCCTCCTTCCCAGCTACCTGCTAAATATAGACAAATTCCCAGAGCAAGGCTCTCAGGAGAAGGTGGGGCCGTGTGGTTCCTGGCTGTCCCTCCCCCCACCAGCCCAATATGATGGCTCTGCCCCCCACCCCTCCTCAGGGAACCTCGGGGACCCCAAGCCCTGCCTGGATGTCCATCTGATGGGCACCCCGGTGCCGTGGGCGTGAGCTGGGCCCGGGGCCTGAGGTGGGTGGGTCGAATGCGCATCCTCGCTGGGTGGTGTGGGTGGTGGTTGCCCCCACAGGCCCTGGGGCTGCCCTTGAGTCCTGCCACGGCCACTGCCTTCCCCCCCCCCAGGGCCTTCGTCTCCCCGTCTCACGTGGGGCTGGGGGCGCGGCCCCCGCCGCCTGGGCTTGCTCCGTGAGCGAGTGGGTTTGCCTGCGGACACGTCGGAGCAGGGCCAGGCGTGTGCAAGACACCGAGCAGATGTGTGCTCTGATTGTCTGACCCCAGACATCACAGCTCACAGGGCCTCTCCGCTTCTTCCGTGTGCACATGTCTCTACATGCGTGAACGAAGCCGGTTGCACGCGATGCCCTCTGAGCGGGGCTGACGTGGAGGCCAGGAAAGGTGTTTGCCCCACGAGGGCGGGAGGAAGCCTTTCTCCACACAGGCCTTGTCTGCGGGGCTGACACCACCATCCCCGCAAACAGAGCCGTTCTTCTCTGCCATGTTAACCTCTTTCCCACCGCGTCCAGGCCTGCACTCCACCGGCCTCTCTCAGGGCCTGCGGACCGCGGGGGAGGGTCACGGTGGGGCCCCTGGGAGCCCCAGGCCTCGGGGTGTCTGCCCCACACAGGTGGCCCAGAATGTGGGTTCTCTGCACTCCACCGGCTGCTTTGGGAGTTGCCGCCCTCCCGCTGCCGGCCGCCACTCCTTGCTGCTGGGCCGTGGGGAGCAAGAAGCTCAGTCTACCGCCTCCCGTGCTCCTCCCCTGCTGTGGCCTGGGAGCCGGGGAGCACAGACACCGGCCCACCGGGGCTGCTCACACGGCTTCCGGGCGGACGCCGTGTCCCACTGGGCGCATGGGGTCCCCTTGCTGGACTGCACCCCATTCCAGACAGTGAACTGCACCCCATTCCAGACACGTGAACTGCACCCCATTCCAGACAGTGAACTGCACCCCAATCCAGACAGTGAACTGCACCCCATTCCAGACAGTGAACTGCACCCCATTCCAGACAGTGAACTGCACCCCATTCCAGACAATGAACTGCACCCCAATCCAGACAGTGAACTGCACCCCATTCCAGACAGTGAACTGCACCCCATTCCAGACAGTGAACTGCACCCCATTCCAGACAGTGAACTGTACCCCATCCAGACAGTGAACTACACCCCATTCCAGACAGTGAACTGCACCCCATTCCAGTGAACTGCACCCCATTCCAGACAGTGAACTGCACCCCATTCCAGACAGTGAACTGCACCCCATTCCAGTGAACTGCACCCCATTCCAGACAGTGAACTGCACCCCATTCCAGTGAACTGCACCCCATTCCAGACAGTGAACTGCACCCCATTCCAGACAGTGAACTGCACCCCATTCCAGACAGTGAACTGCACCCCATTCCAGACAGTGAACTGTACCCCATCCAGACAGTGAACTGCACCCCATTCCAGACAGTGAACTGCACCCCATTTCAGACGTGTGACGCCCCCTCCTCACGCTGTCGGGCAGCCCCCCTGGAGCTCCGCCGGCCTGCGGCCCTGGCCAGCTGTGTGACCTTGAACGAGTTACCTGACCTCTGAGCTCCGTTTCCCAGGCTGCACCGGGGGTGACATCAGCCCCCGCGTCTCCAGGCTGCGGTGCGCTCAGTGGCCACGACCGTCACCCCCACCACCCTGGGGGCGTGACCCAAGGAGCCTGAGGTGAAGCCCCGTGGGGCGGCTTTTCCAAAGAACCAGGTACCAGGTGCGGAGGGCTTCGTAACGATTTATTTCCCTAATGAAAACGGAGGACCACTCTGTCCACAGCTCCAACCCCGGCCGATCCCTGTGTCCTCACATCCCAGCCTCTACGCGCTGGGCCTTCTCAGTAAGTGCCAGATACATCAACGGGAAAAGGGGAGATCCCGGGGAAGGGGGGCGGACTGCGGACAATCCATTTTAAGAGAGACTCTCTGTGCTGCAAGAGTTTCCTGAGGAAGCTGAGGGGGCAGGGGCGCGAGAGGGCGAGCTGCTCACAGGGTGGGCCATGTACACGGGTCTGAGGGCTTCGACTCCCCCGGGCGCACCTGGCGGTGGCACTGAGCCGGGCCGGCCCTCTCCGGGGCCAGACCCAGGTGCCTTGGAGCCAGGGCAGGCGTCCCGGTGGGAGGCGAAGCAGGGGTGCGGGTGGGGCCTGGAGGAGGGGGGGGGGGAGTGAGCGGTGAGGCGCCCCTGGCCCACGCAGTCCTGCCCTGGCCCCCGGCGCCTCCCTCCCTGTGTCCGGGCGGGGGAGGGGTTAATGCTATGCCAGCAGGGAGGCCGGTGGGCACTGAGCTCCCCCGGCTCAGTGGGGCGGGTGGCGCCGCTCAGCCAGGGCGCCGCGGCCCAGCACCTCCCCGCTGAACTGGTAGGTGAGCTTCTTCTTGACCTTCTTGACCTCGCCCGTCTTGCCGTAGTTGCGCAGGGCGCGGGCCATCTTCTGGTAGGTCATCTTCTTCCGGTTGCCCTTCTGGATGCCCCAGCGGTGCGCCAGCGCCTCCTTGTGCTTGGACGAGAACTGGAAGGTGCCCTTGTCCTTGTCCACCCACCAGATGCTGTCCTTCATGTCCCCGCTGCGCAGCAGGTCCAGCAGGAACTGGTACAGGCGGATCTTCTTCTTGCTGCCTGGGGGGGGGGGGGGGCGGGCGGTCAGCGCCCCAGCACGGGACCCCATGTCCACCTCCTAGAAAGGGGCCCCTGGGAGTTCCCTGTGGGGGAGGACGGGATTCGGGGGGGTCCACAGGGGAACCAGCTCCCCCACCCTATGCCTGGCACACACACTCCCACTCACACACACTCACATACCCGCCCACCCTCAGGCACAGAGCAGCTGCGTACACTCAGCTCTCATGCACACATACTCACAGGCACACACACACACACAAGGTACACATGAACACACACATTGGCAAACGTTCACACACTCAGCTCTGCGGTATGACTGGAGTGGGCATGGGGCGCAGGTACGGCCAGAATGGGGCCTGGGGCTGGGCCCCCCTACCTGTTTCCCCATGCAGGAGGCCCGGCCCTGGCTCCAGGCCATCGGCCTCTCCATCGGACACCTCCAGGGGGGGACTCTGCCGCTCGCCCTCCTCCTCATCCGTGCTGGGCTGGGCCGGGGACAGGGAGGGGTACTGCAGGCACATGCGGGGCAGGTAAGAGACCTGGAAAGAGAGCTGAGGTCAGGGAGGGACAGTGGGAGTTCGGGCCGCAAGGCCGGGGTCACTGAGTGGGACAAGTGCTGAGGGCAGGAGGTCAGCGAGGGCCAGAAAGATCTGGAAGAAGGCTGGGGACGTTGGAGGTCAATCAGGTTGCAGGCAGGGTCCCCACACACCAGGTTGCAGGTCGTGATGGACCCCCTTTCTTCTCACCCCACGAAGGTGCCATCGGGACAAGCCGTGGCCTGGGTAAGAAGTGGGGGTGAGCCCTAACCGGTTTGGCTCAGTGGATAGAGCATTGGCCTGCAGACTGGGGGGTTCTGGGTTCGATTCCGGTCAAGGGCATGTACCTTGGTTGCAGGCACATCCCCAGTAGGGGGTGTGCAGGAGGCAGCTGATCGATGTTTCTCTCTCATGGAGGTTTCTAACTCTCTATCCCTCTCCCTTCCTCTCTGTTTAAAAAAAAAAAAAAAAAAAAAATCAATAAAATATATATTTTTTAAAAATGAAGTGGGGGTGAAGAGTACCCGAGGGAGTGACGATGAGTGAATGGAAGGGCAGTGGGGGTCACTGACGGGGATTGGGGTTGGTGGGCTGAGGGGGGTCAGTGAACGGGGTCAGCGAGGACAGGGAGGGGCCCGGAGGGGTCAGTGCAGGCCGGCGCTCAGGGACTTGGATGCCAGGCGAAGGGGAGCTGCAGCCAGTGCGGGCCAGGCGGGCTCTGACGAGGCCGTTGGGGTGGAGTGGGTCGGGGTTATCTGGACCGTCCGTGGCGGGCAGAGAGGAGAGAGGGGGCGTGGGGTCACGAGGTCAGCCGGAGGGCCAGGAGGAGCCGTTGGGGCTCCGGCCGCCGTTGGTGCCGTGGGGCAGGAAGCCGGGTTGGGTAAGAGCCTGTGTCAGCTTCCTGTGGAGCTGGGGCTCCCGGGCCGGGCCCGGCCTGCGGGCCGCACGCACCTGGTGGCCGAGGCCGGCGTGGGCGGGCGCCATGGGCGTGTCCAGCACGTGCATCTGCTCCAGCTCCATGTGGCGGTACAGCTGCTGCAGCTGCGGGGGCTGCACGCTCTGCAGCTCCGTGAAGTGGTTCTCGGCGAAGCTCTCGAACTCGCTGTGCACGTGGTGCGGGCGGAAGTCCCAGTAGTGGTCTGCGGGGCACAGCCGGGCGGCGGGCCCGGCGGGACACGGTCAGAATGATTCAAAAAATAAGAATCCCAGCCCTGCCCGGCTGGCTAGCTCAGCCGGTTAGAGCACCCTCCCCATACCCCAAGGTTGTGGGTTCAATCCCCAGCCAGGGCACATACAAGAAGCAACCCATGAATTCACAAATAAGTGGAGCGACAGATCAATATTCCCCACCCCACCCCTCTCTCTCTCCTCCTTCCTTTCTCTCTCTAAAAATAATCAGTCCCTGGCCAGTGGGGCTCGGTTGGTTGAACATTGTCCCGTGTACCCAAGGTAGCTGGTTGGATTCCTGATCAGGGCACATGCGCAGGTGTGGGTTCAGGCCCTGGTCAGGGGGTGTGTGGGAGGCAACCAATTGATGTCTCTCTCTCACAAATAGATGTTTCTCTCTCACATTGATGTTTCTCTCTCTCTCTCTCTCTCTCTCTCTCTCTCTCAAAAAATCAATAAAGAAAATGTTAATCAATAAAAAGAAGCCAGGTCTTATGGGGCAATTACAATGGGCCAGGCTGAGCTACAAGTGGCATCAGCCGTCGAACCGCCAGCTTGCTATGTGACAACCCCCCTTACAGATGGGGACCCTGAGGCGGGCAGAGGCCGCACACACAGCGTGCCAGTGGTCACAGCTCCGTCCCCGGCTGAGCCAGGACCCTGGGCTGAGGCGACGTCTGCCTTCTCAGCCACACTCCGACCCTGCCCCCCACACGGCCACGGGGACACGGGCTTTGCGCCAGAGCCTGCCTCCTGGTTCTGATGTTATCCGCCCTCCGCTGGCTCGCCTCTAAAACGGGGGTGACAGTTGTCAGCTCCCGAGGAGGCCAGGAGGTAAGACCTCTGGTGGGTCCTGAGCTGCCTGGCCGCCCCCGGTCACAGGCACAGCCCTGTCCCACGGCCCAGGGGTGTGACTGCGAAGTCCCAGGCTGGCATTCTTTGCGTACAGAGCCGCTGAGCCCGGGGGCAGCTGCTCTGTTCCTCCGAGGTGACCAGGACCCGGGCTTCCTGGAAACTCCCCCACGGGTGCTTTCAGCCTGCGGTGGGGTGGGCTCGAGGTTGGGGAACAGTCACATGCCCTGTTTGGGGACGCGGGCAGGTCTTCACCGCAGTTCCTCTGGGCACCTTTTCCAGGAACAAAAACTGCCCCGTGTCTGAGGACTTCCTGGGTGCATTTTGGGGTCCAGGAGAAGGCGTGGTGATCGAGCGACAAGAGGGAGCCGAATACAGAGTGTGTGGGAGGCTGGGCTAGGGCAGCATCTCTGGGACGAGCACAAGGCCCTGCAGGGGGACCGCCACCGGCCCACCTGCGCATGTGTGTGTGTGTGTGTGTGTGTGACGCGTGCCTGTCTGCCTCCCTCTTCCTTGTTCTCTCTCGCACAAGCATGGACCCACTCGCACATCCCGGGGAATGACATGCGTTGTGAGGGCTCTGTGGGGCTTTGCCATGGGACCCTGAGCCTCTCCTTCCCCATGCTAAAAGCGGGAGGCCCACTCACGTGTGAGATCACTCCTCAGTCCAGACTCCCACCTCTATGAGGCCGCATAGCAGAGAGGGGGGAACTACATGATCTGGGAGTCAGGCAGACCTGGGTTCAAATTCTGACTCTGCCATTTGCCACTGTGTGACACGGGCCGGCCACTGCACCTCCCCCAGCCTCCTTTTCCTCATTACACCCACCTCCTAGGCTTCAGTGAGGATTCAGTGAGCCTGCAGAGTGCTTCGACTAGAAGCTGGCGCAAACACACCTCTATTATTATTACTAGTTACTAGTTTAGTTAGCTGGCACAAGCACACCTCTATTATTATTAATACCGTTACTAGTTTAATTAAAGAGCCCAGATTAGCCCTTCAGCAAAAGGCAAATGCTTTGACATGTATGTGTTTCCTCCTCTTCCCTCTGCTTCTGTCTCCTTAGTCAGTGGCCCTGAGAAACAGTTTTAGGGGCCCCGCTGTCATGCTCCCCCAGAGGCTGGAGGGGGGCCCCAGCACAACCCAAGGTGGCAGCGACTGCTTTCACTCAGCTCTGCATTCCCAGTGCCTCTTGCCGGGAGTTGGTGAGATCCAGAAACTCCCCCTGTGCTGGCTCTGTCCTCAGAGACAGGCCCTTTGATGAGTTTGGGGTTTAGTGAGCAGACTTGGGTTCTTCTTTAACTGCAAATCCACCCTCTGGCCCCACTCCCGGCCCTCCCTACTTCTGCCTTCTGCCGCCCGAGTTGAAGATGGGGCAATTACCACGGGCATCAAGGGCAGCTATTATCCCAAAACAGAAAATGACTAGTGTTGATGAGGATGTGGAGAAACTGGAACACTTGTGCACCACTGGTGGGAATGTGAAATTCCTCATGGAATGCCCCATCGATCCTGCCGCCAACCCCCGCCCTCACACCCACTCCACGTGGGGACCGGGGGACCCTGAGTACATCCAGGGTGTGGGGGAGGGCCCTGCTGCTCTCTCCCTCCCGCTCCCACCTCTGTTCTAGCTCCACCGGAGGCCATGGGCTCGCGCTGGGGGTCCCAGCCTGAGGCCAGCCTTTCCCAAAGCAGGTCACAGTCGACCTTCATCCAAACCCCCGTGTGTGACTCTGTGGGACTGCACTCTACCACTCCATCATACCGTCTCTGAGGAGCAAGACTGCTAATGGACGCTCTAGGTAAGGCCCCTGGGGACAGACTTTACTGAACTGCTCTTACCCACCTGCTGGTCTACCATCACCCACCCCTCCATCATCCATTCTTCATCCACTCATTGTCCAACCATTAACTACCCGTGATCCATCCACCTCCAAACGTCCATCCATCAGTCATTCGATATTCATGAATCCATCCATTCATCCTTCTATCATCCATCCCGTCAGCAATAGCCCATTCATCTACATCTTTCATTTCCTCCCTCTCAATTGGCACCCAATCTGGGACCAAAGTCCTATCCACACATCCCTATTTTTACTCAGGTTTTTTGTTTCACTAACACCTGTAAGTAACCAAGACACACAAACACACACACACAAAGGAAATTTAAAACAACCCCACTCACAAAAAACTCAAGCCTGGGTGTCATTTAGTTGACCTTATCTCCCCAGAAGAGAAATCCCAGCCTGAAGCCAGGGCTCCCCCAGGGAGCAGAAGTAAGAACAAGACAGAGGAGTGAGATGAGGAATTAAGAAACATCCTCAGTACGTCACCGATCACTGGGCTCCTGAAGGCCAGCCTCCTGCAAATTCTTCAGGGATGGCTTAGAATAGAGAGTTCCAGGCCTCATGGTACTTGTTACTCTCTCCCTGGGATCTTAGTTATTGGGCTTTAGTCATCTCCCTTGTTGCAAAGACAAATCTGGAAGGACCTGAGTTGTGTTCACCCCACAGCAATGTGCTTGAGATTGAAAGATGCTTACATACAGTTATTGGATGGGTAAGTCAGTTGGAGATGGATGGAAGGTTTGGCAGGTAGAGGGAAGGACAATTGGAAAGGTGGGTGAGTGGATGATTAAATCGATGCATGGATAAACAAGTTGATGGTTAGTACCAGGAGAGAGTATATGGGAAGATGGATGGATGGATGGATGGATGGATGGAGAGAAGGAGTCATACTTTGGAACTCTATTTCCTTTACCAATCCCACCACAAATAGCAAATCCTAGCAAACCCAGTAGGGCAGCTATTATCCCAAAACAGAAAATGACCAGTGTTGGTGAGGATGTGGAGAAACTGGAACACTTGTAGCATTGCTGGTGGGAATGTGGAATGACACAGCCACTGTGGAAAACAGTATGATGGTTCCTCAAAAAGATAAAAATACAATCACCACGTGATCCAGAAATTCCACTTCTGAGTATGACTCCAAAAGATCTTGGAAGCAGGGGATGGAGGAGATATTTGTACGCCCATGTTCACAGCAGCATTGTTCACAATAACCCAGGTGCCCAACGACAGAGGAATGGATAAAGAAAACGCAGTATATACGGATGGCGGAATAGTATTCAGCCCTGAAAAGGGAAGAAATCCTGACACTGGCTGCAACATGGACATTGAGGACGTTGTGCTGAATGAAATAAGCCAGACAGGAGAGGAGAAATACTGTATGATTTCACTCGTGTGTGGTACCTAATGTAGAGAAACAGACAGTAGACTGGTGGTTACCATGGCCGAGGGGAGGGGAGAATGGGGAGCTAGCGTTTAATGGGGGCAGAATTCCAGTCTTACGAGATGGGAGAGCTCCCGAGATGGGTGATGGCGGTCACCCAGCAATGCACCTGTGTGAGGTGCTGCTGAACAGCACACTTCAATGTGGTCACGATGATACATTTTCTATGATGTGTATTTCACCACAATTAAAAAATAATCATAACAAATAGCAAATTCTATGAGTCCCACCTTCAAAAATCTATCTTGAATCTATCCACTCCTGCCTGTCTCTGCAGCCAGCACCCTTGTCCGAGGCCCCGTCACCTCCTGCCTGGATTATTCCCTTAACCAGTTCCTCTGCAGGAGGAACAGACCCTCAACTACAATAGTTCTTTAACATTGAACCAGGATTGGCAGCTCAGTTTCCTGCCTGAGCCTGCTCCCTCTCCATTTACTCTCCACACAGCAGCCAAAGAAATCTTTTTAAAAGCTTACTCAGTAGATCCAATAGATATTGGGAGAAGACACTATAAACTTCCAAACACAACTAAACAAAATAAAATTAAAAAATAAACAAACAATAGATTACATTCAAAAAAAGAAGATGTGGAAAGATTTCCGGCTTCCTAAGAAAAGTCTGGTAACCAGAACACAGTAGAGAAATGCTTTCAAATTTCATATTTATATATATTTTTCATTGATTTCAGAGACGAAGGGAGAGAGAGATAGAAACGTCAATGATGAGAGAATCATTGATTGGCTGTCTCCTGCATGCCCCCTACTGGGGGTGAGGGTCGCATTCACAACCCGGGCTTGTGCCATTGGCTGGAATCAAACCCGGGACCAT